GAACATGATTGAACTGAACCTGAACCTGAACTTGACCAAAGTTCGGTTTCAGTTCGGTTCATAGGAACACTATCACTTATTCTATTCGCTAATATCTTTGTAAATACTTTTCTATAATGTTCAATCAAAGTTATAGGTCTAGTCTTTGATAGATCGCTATTTCTGTACCCTGACTTTGCTATTGGCCATACCAGACCGTTTTTCCATGCCGCTGGAATCTCTTGCAACTCTAATACCACATTATATATAACCCTCAGGTTTTCTTTCGCCACTTTTAGTAGTCTTTTTATTACCTCGTTTGACAACATTGATAGACCTGTTGCTTTGCCAATTAGTGCTTTCCTAATCGCTTCTTCAATCTCCTCGCAGGATATGGGATCTTCAAGGGAGCTAAAGATCCTTTGATTCTGGGCTTCTCTTGTTTTATACTATTCCTCCCACTCTTCCCATCTATCGGTATTTATGGAATTATATTTTGTCCATTTTTTAAAGTGGTTCCTCAATTATCACCTTAGTTGGTGTTACTATCTTATCTGAGATCACTTTTGTATATGTTTTCTTAAGTATACTCCCAATCATACTTTTGGTGTTATCTTTAAAGTTTTTATACCATCTCTCAATATGTTTGTTGATTTGTTCTTTTTTTTCAGCCGTATTTTCTATATTTCTTGCCTTTTGAAAGTTTTTCTTGCAGTCTTTAGTCTTTGAATCGTAGGAAGTACATTGACTATTTATAACTCTAATACCGCAACTTCGTTGATTGGCAGGTCTGCATACTTTCTCAACTCTTTTATTTCTTTATTAATTTTATCAACGATTTCTACTATACTTCAAGGCGCGGCCTATCTGGTGATTAACGCAATTGCTTTATTAAGAGCTTTTATTCCCTTATGTAGATTGGTTGCTTTAAAAAGATACTTGTGATGAACTTTATTTGTGCGGTAGCTTGTTGAATGATATTACTCCAATTGTTCCATGCTTTATTTAACGATTCTTTATTCGTAATTTGGTTATTAAGTATAAAGGATGCATTCATGTGTTTTGATACATACTCTGCTAATTCTAACTAGTCATCTTTACTCGTTTTATTGTATAAGAACTGTTTTTTATAACTTTTCCTCTTTCTAATAACCTTACTAGGTAAGCATATCAACCAACTAGTCTGTAGTATCGCATGATCACTATCGGTTGTGGATGTACTTTTGTATATCTCAGGTCTCTGAAACTCTTGTATTATCTCTGGATCCATCCAAAAGTCATCAATCTGACTAAAAAGTTCACCCTGATTCTATGTACTTTTTCTTATACTGTGGATTTGTGATGTAAGCTAATCAGACCTATATTTTCGATATGTTTAAGTAGTGGTGCACTCATATATGTCAGATTTTTTTTAGAGTCTTTATTGAAGTCTCCAATTACCAGAGCAAACATGTTCTTCGCTTTTGCGTTGTTTACCCAGTTAATTATTTCTTCTTGTGTGTTTCTGTTCATTCGGTCTATCTTTGAAGGTATGTATACTTCAATGACTCTAACTCTTAAATTTCCAGGTAAAAAAATGTCTATTTTAAGCGCTGTACCTGGTATCGATTTGATATTATGTACGTATTTTCTAATTCTTTCACTTAATGCTATTGCAACCTCTTTTGATGATTTGTTTATATTTGCCGTTTGTTCATCACAATTGGCTATATATACTTTATAAAGTGGATTGGTGAAATGTAAAGGGTGTGCAGATGCTGCTAGTTTCGTTTCTGTTATTATAATATATCTATATCTTCTTTTTTACAATGTTCTAGCCATGTTTGAAATTTATCGTCTATATTGATTCCTTGTACATTATGATTTATAATTCTGATTAGTTGTTTATTAGTTATGTTGTGTGCGTTATATATGTCTTGTATTTGTAGAGGATTATTGGCAATCATCTGTTCTGACATCATCATTGAATTCGAAGATATCCCAACTCGGCTCTGGTAAGTCTGGTAGTTTATTTATGAAATTAGATAGCGCTTTTACTTCAAACTTTTCAATTAGATATGTTATTATAGCTTCTGTCTGTTCGTGGCTTACGAATCATATTGGTTAATTCTGGCTTATTTATTTCTATGTTTGCTTTTAGCTCTTCGACTGTGTTAGGTAAATTTGTATTTCTTCTTGGACTTGTTCTATTTCTATCCAGCTTTTAAATAAACGATAAAAGTAATACTTATTTCTCAACAGTCTTGCTGTTTCTGCTACCTGGTCTATAGATATCATCAGTACAACTATTTTGACTTTCTTTAATTTTTTATAATTCACAAGTAGGTCAGGTTTTTTTGTTGGGTTTACGCTCAAGTATTCCGGTACAAAGGCCAGTGGTAAACTATACTCCTCTAGTATTTTCTGTATGAATGCCTTTGCTTTCTCCTTATTGCTAATTGGGAAGTTGAAGTTTGTCTTCATACATAACTGCTTTGGGTCTCGTGGAAGCCTCCTCTTTGCTATGATGAAGTCATTAGGTACACTTCTGAAGTCATAGTATTTTTTCAATATATTTAATAACTTCTTAAAATGATCTTAATTATATGGATAAAACGAGAACATATGCCTAATTTTTTTATTTAATTTTTGTGGCGTTGGGGGTAATTTTGGCTTCGGTAGTGAGAAGTCGAAATATGTCTCTGGTAGTTTCTTTTCTAGTACATAGTATCAATTTAAACTCTTTCTGTATTCCCTCAAATTTACTAACTTTGCTCTTTCCTTGATTGGAAAGAAGGAAGCCACAGCGAGTATTAAATCTTTTGGGTCCTGTGGGAGCTTTTCTCTTTTTTCATCAAAATATGATTCTGGCAATGAAATGAATGTGAACATTTTCCTCAGTACTTGGACGGTAGGTTTAGTTAGATGCCTGTCTGTGATTGGTAAATTGAATGGGATTATGTTTAAAATTTCTTGTGGCATTCTCTCTGGGAGGTTGGGTAACTCTTCCTTTATCTCTGATTCGATTCCTTCCATTAATCTTCTTACTTCTTCAAACTTTAGCTCATATTGAACATTAGCAAATCTTAGGCAGTAGTATAGCATACAAGTATTATCATGCGTACTAGCCTTTAACATATCATATTTTCTAATAAAGTCAAAGCTCAACTTCATCTTTAACATACGAAAGATTTGATCTCGGTTGTTTTTATTTATTTGCAGTATCTTATGTTGGGTCTTATATCTATCTTGGACCATATATAACAATTGGTTAAATTCTAATTGATGAGCTGGTTTTGCTGCATGGTTTCTTGTAAAGGTACGAAAGAAGAATTTATCCATATACGCGATTTTTATTTGGGTTGCATGGGGAGTTCTATTTTTGCTGGTATTGTTGTGTATTTGTGCTGTAGAAATTCCTTCATGCTTTTCAGTGATTTAGTTGCTTCACTGATTGCTTTGTTGTCCCATGTGCCTGAGTCGAATACGTTGTCTTGTTTCTCATATATATATTCTACCATAACTTTTGACCATAGTGTACCCAAGTCTTCATATGAATATTTTCATATCCTGTGTTCATTAATGCCTGCTTATATGAGGGTGTCTGAATCTGCTCCTCTTCAACAATTTTACTTTCATCTATGTTCAAGTCATCGTCTGTCATTGGTTGATTGACTGGGTCCTGTTTTTCCAGTTCCCGTTCCTGGTTTGGGGCGTCAGTTTGATCAATGTCCCTTGCCGGTTGTTCTAGGTTTGACTTTTGTGACGATGGTGAAGAGGAGTCAAACATGGTTGTGTTGTCTTGCTGGACAATGTCTTCAGCAGTTGTTTCATTGTGCTGAAGTTTCTTCTTCTTTCTAGTACTTTGCTCGGGTGATTCTTTATTAGCCACAGCTTCTATTATTTTTATGGATTGTACCTCATTCATTTTTTGTTTAAGTGTGAGCTTTTGGGAGGGCGGAAGTGTAATAGTGATAAAACTATTCTTTGATTTTTTCACTTCATTCAAGTTTCTCCAAGAGGTTTTACTTTAGCTGGGAGCATTTTAATGCTCTCAGACTGTTTGCTAATTTTTTCTTTTGTATAATTATATTTTTTCTTTTTTGTAACAAGTTGTTCAATATTCAAAAAAATTTTTATTCACTTTATTTATTTTTTTTTTAAATTTAAGCAGTTATACCACAACTTTATTATTTAATATAGATGGAACAAATTTTTACATTTAGAAAAAAAAAATTTTTTTTTTAAAAAAAAATTTTTTTCTAACTTTAATCTATTTTTCACTTAGTAAAAGGTTCGTGAAAACAAAAATCAGCAAATTATATAGATGTAAAATTTTATGCTAAACAACTTTACTTAGAAGATGAAAGCAAATTACATAAGTAAAAAAAAAAAGTTGTATATAGAAAAACTGGAATTTTTAACTTTAGTATATATATATAACCCATTTTTCTTACAAGATAATCTACTTCTAACTTCTAAGTAAAGTTGTTTAGAGCATGTTTTTACATATATTCATTATTTTAAAATTGGAAAATACTTGATTTTGAAAAGTTAGATTTTCATTTTATACAAAATTAGCAAAATTTTAATTTAATTTTTAAGCTCAATTTTTTTTTCTCCCCTTGTTTTATATTTTTCAAAAAATTTAATTTAAAGTTAATAAGTTAGATTTAAAATGATCTTAGCTCAAAGTTATATAGTAAATTCATATGTTTTTTTGAAAATTTTACTTATAAACAGCATTTTGATTTATCTTAAGGGGAGCTCCATTTATCACCTGATTTTTTAGAGTGGGGGGTCTGAAAATTATTAGGTCCAATAGTAGATAACTTTTGATTGGCTAAAATTTTTTAAAATTTTTTAAAAATTTAAAAAAATTTTAAACTTTAATATTAAATAAAATTTGAACTAATGATCCGTTTTGGATGATTTTACTACCAAAATGTTCGTCTCAATGAGACGATTCCAACAAGCCTAAAATCATCAAAATCCAATCACTGGATCCCACGATCTTTATAAATTTATATTGCTTTAATTATATTAGTTTTGTATTAAAGATCTTATAAACTTTAACATTGAATAACTTGTGAACTAGTGATCTGTTTTAGATTATTTTACTACCAAATTGCTCGTCTCAGTGAGACAATTCTAATGAATCTAAAATTATTAAATTCTGATCACGGTATCCCAAGATCGTTATAGATTTGTGTTATTTTAATATAAAATATATTAAATCAATTAAAAATACAAATCTATAACGATATTGGGATCCCGTAATCAGAATTTAACAATTTTAGGTTCATTAGAATCGTCTTACTGAGATGAGCATTTTGGTAGTAAAATCATCTAAAACGGATCACCGGTTCACAAGTTATTCAATGCCAAAGTTTATAAGATTTTTAATAATAATTTTTAATATATACAAAACTAATATAATTAAAGCAATACAAATTTATAACGATCTTGGGATCCAGT